GTGTGAAAAATAGAGCGCTTGCTTTGGCAGCACATACACTAAAACTGGAAAGATACAGAGAAGATTAGCATGACCCCTGTGCAAGGATGACATGCAAATTTGTGAAGTGTTCCACATTTTTAAATAGATAATAAATGGATGCTGGGCTAAATACCTAGGTGATGGGATGATCTGTGCAGCAAATCACCATGCACACGTTTACCTATATAACAAAACTGCACATCCTGCACATGCACCCCTGAACTTAAAAAAAAGTTGAAGAAAAACTAAAAGAAGGGTGGAGGAGGGACTTTATCATTCAAAAATGTCAATGTCATCAGAGAAAAAAAATTTCACTAAGAAAAGCGTATGGAAATGTTCCAGATGAAAGGAGGCTAAAGATATTTAACAACTAAATGTAATACTTGACCCTAGACTGCATTCTATACTGAAGAAGAAAATATAATAAAAAGAATATTACTGATATTACTGGGCCAATTGTCAAAGCTGGAATTTAAATAGTAAAGTATTAATATTAAAACAATGATTAATCAGCAGCCTGTATTGTTAGTAGATTGTGTTGTTTATCATCTTTAATATACAAAACCTTTATCTTTCAAAAACTGGTGTTTCAGTAAAATAATATTTAAATGTGACTACAAAAAAGAAAAATAGAACATTTGGAAAGTAGATGAAAACCATCAAAAAGATTGTTAAAATGACTTAGCAATAACTACTATAGACCTTTTGGTTTATTTTCTTTCAGTTATTAAAAAAATCATACATTTTTTTCTAAGGTAATTTATCCTGTATAACAATTTTTTTGTTGCCTTGAATCATCTCTGATTCTTTATCATGGCCCAGCTCAAGTTTTCAAACTTCTTCATGTTTGAAACATATATAACTCCACATGTAAAAGAATTATGTGAACGGTCAAACCATGTGTAACTATTGGCTGCTTTTCCTATTATAGAATACATTCTAATTTTCCACTTCCTTATTGTTTCTCCAAGAGCTGCCCTTCTAGCTCATGGGATCCAAGGCCTCTGGTGAAATGGCTTGAGCATTCTCACATTCTAGAAGACATCAGAAATATCCAAAGTGCTAATTAAAAATGCACACCTCAGGGCTCTACCGCTAGATGTTCCAAGGTATAGTAGATAGAGAGGGGCTCCAGGAATATTTTAAAAATTCAGCTTTTCATAAAAATTTACCACTAACTCATATACACCATAAAGTACTATGCAGCCGTAAAAAGGAATGAGAACATGTCTTTCACAGGACATAGATGGAGCTCGAGGCCATTATTCTTAGCAAACTAATTTGGGAACAGAAAACCAAATACCACATGTCCTCACTTATAGGTGGGAGCTAAATGATGAGAACTTATGAACAAAAAGAAGAAAACAAAAAACTCTAGGGTCTACTTGAGGGTGAAGGGTGGGAGGAGGGAGAGGAGCAGAAAAGATAACTGTTAAATACTGGGCTTAAGACCTGGGGGATTAAATAATCTGTATAACAAACCTCCATGATAGAAGTTTACCTAGGTACCAAACCTTCACATGTACCGCAAAACCTAAAATAAAAGCTTAAAAAAGAATGTTGAGGTCAGTAAAGGCTTTAAGAGGATTTACAATGTTTTACCATTTATATAGAATTGTGCATGAAATCATGTGTGCAGCGTGGTGACTTTTCACAAGTGAATATACTTATTGATATTGTTTTATAAAGTTGTAATTCATTCATTCTCATTGTTGTGTTGGATTTATTTATTTAATTAATTCTTTTGGGATGGGTCTTGCTACGTTGCCTGGGCTGGGCTTGAACTCCTGGCTGAAATGATCCTCTAGCCTCAGCCTCCCAAGTAGCTGCGACGGTAGGCATGTGCCACCATGCCTGGCTTGCTGTGGTAGATTTAATTATATGCTATGTATACATCATTTACTTGTCCATTCTAGGTACACTGACATTTGAATTGCAGCCAAGTTTGTGTTCTTATAGATAGTGCTGCTCCTAATATTTTAGTGGATGTCTTTTGGTCTTAGTGCATGCATATTTTTAGCTTGAATTGACACTGTCAGTTTTCCAAAGATAGAACTTCAGTTTATTCTCACACTTGCAGAATATGGGTATTCTAGTTGCTCTATATCCTCACAAACACTTGACTTTATCTGTGTTTTATTTTAGCCAGTCTGTGTAGTTGTATTCCAGTGTGGTTTTAATTTTCATTTCCCTAATTAGGTGAAACAAATTTTCATGTATTTATTACCTGTTTGGATATTGTCTTTGGTGAAAAGCCTATTCAAGCCTTTTGCCCATTTTTCTGGTGGACTGGCTACCTATTTCTCAAAGATTTTTGGCATTCCTTATATGTTCTATGTTTTAGTTATTTGATGACTATACATATATATGGTCAATATTTTCTTGTACTCTGTCACTTGCTTTTCAGTCTCTTAATTGCATCTTTTGATTAATAGATGTTTCTAATTTTAATGTATTACAATTTATCCATTATTCCTTTTGAGGGTAGCACTTTTTCCATCCTGTTTAGGAAATCACTGGCAACATCAAGTAGATATTCTTCTATATTTTCTATAAGTTTTTTTTGTATAGACATCTTTTTAAAAACAATTATCTAAAAAATTCTGATACAGACATTCACAAGTCATATTTTGCAAAACCTTGCAATTTTCTGCTCTAATCCTCACAAATCCTTACAAAGCTTAAAAACCCTTTCCCCAAGCTGAGGTCTCCATCCTTGACTTCCCTTCTTCAAGGTGGGCTCACCTCACAAACCCTTATTGTCAGGCTGTTGCGTTTTCACAGAGAAGTCTACAGCGGGAATACACTTGCAAACTTGCCAGGCCCAGGCATAAATGAATGATGGAATAGGGTGGGGACCATGGTGGCTGGAGAACAAATGCCCTGTAGAGGAACAGCAACCACTCGGCCCCAGCTAATTGTTGTCATATGACAATGAGGCTCCTGGGCTGCAGATCTGCCATGTTTCAAAACAAATCCAAGCATCTGGGTTATGTGAAACATGTCAATTTCTGAATGATGTCAAGCAGTTCAAATTAAAAATTCACTGTGTGGGCCTGAAAAAATAAAGAGGATATTTGTGAGTTTGCTGTAGTCTATGGTCAAACTTTGTCCCAGGGAAGCAGGCTGCCACTCCAAGTGTGGTCCTGGGAGCAGCAGGAGGGAATCACCTGTGAACACATCAGACATGCAGAACCTCAGCTTTCAAACACTGAAGGAGAATAATCATTTATCAATATCCATAGGTGATTCATAGGTACAATAAAGTTTCAGAAGCATCAGTGTAGACATATGGTTCTCAACACTGGCTCAAATTAGAATCTTTTGAAGAACTTATTAAAAAAATCAATAAATCTGAACCTCTAGGGATGAAACAATATTTTAAAAAGGCAACCTAGATGATTCAAATAGGCAGCTGGGGTTCTAAAGCACTAATTTAGATCAGTCTTTCATTTATAAGTGGGGAAAGTGAAAACTCACAAAGTGGACAGGTGAAGTATCTTGCCCAAGCTCCCTGAACTCATGTATGGGAAGATTTGATTTGTGCTCATTCTCATTTCTCATTATTCCCAAGCCAGTGCCTTTTTTCTGCAGATGCTTTTGGTTCCTCAGGGCAGAACTGAAAAATGATCCTGTTTGAATATAGCTCATTGCTGCCAGATTTCCAGCTAAGCTGCTTAGCTTTCAGCATTGAACAGCTAACAAGATTTACTGGATGAAGAGCTGCTGGGCCCCTGCTTCTGCCTTTTCAAGCTGAAATCCACTTCATTCTTCCTGTACATTACCCAAAAACAGTGCTGATTGCTCCCACTGTGAAGAAATGGAAGGTCCTCAACTTGGGTGTCAAAATCTCCCTCCATAGGCACTAAATGGAGACACAAACTATTATCAGCAATATGAGCATTTAGGTTCAACATTAACCGGAAGTGAGTGTGACTGCTTCACCCATGTTACGTTGTCAGGCTGTATCATTAGAAGCACAGATCCAGGATGCAAAACTTGGTAGTCATGTTTGGCTCTGATGCACAATTCTGTAAGCAAATTAAATGAGTGACACACACATAGTAGTTGAGCCAAGGTTCCCTAACTCTGCTTGTCAGGACCAGGTAATGCTTATGACATTCTGACTCCATGGTACAGTTCTTGAACAGGTTTGTGGAAAAAAAGACAGAATCTAACAACCCAAATTAATGGGTGAAGGACTTGAGCTTCCTTGTTGTACTTTAGGGGTGACATAAAGGAGACCTATGTTCTACCGCAAATGTTTCTGACATTTCCCTCTGTATCTACTTCATTATGCTTAATAGCTGTACCATCTTCTTTCTTTTCAACTCTCTGCCATCCAAGTTTTCTCCTTCCCAGCTCTAGCCTGTGTCTTGATCGTCTTTCTTCTCGTTTTCACTCCACTTCTACAGTTGCGAAGACAGTAGCTTTTCAGAGAATTGGAAAGAAAGAGATGCTTGACAGGATCCTATTTAATGTCCAGACAGAAGGACAGCTGGGGACAATCATACATTTCAGGGCCATTACAACTACACCCCAGTTATATCCCTAATGATGCCAGTGCCTGTCTTCACTCCAGCTCTTCCCTTCCTTGACCTCCCAAACTGCTGGGATTATCTACCCCCATTGAACTTTAAGCCTTGCTGCAGTCAGACCTGTGATGACCTGTGTAGGCTCAATGTATATTAAGCACCCTCAGTGTTCTAAGCCATGAAACTTAGTTTGATATGTGAATGGAGATCTGCTTTTTTAATAAGATGGGCATACCCAGACTGCTGCTGGATTGAGATAGCATGTATGACAGTTCTTTGATAATAGCTTAGATAATTATAAAGCAATGGTGATAACAATTAGAATTCTTCTATGCCACCAATCCTGGAAAAATGTTGTCACTTGACCGGAACTATAGCCTTGCTTATAACTTGTTTTCAACTTCCTTACCGTCTACAAATAACCTTTTATTTCATCTTCTCCAGGTAAAGAAACTCCTTCCAAGGACCCAACTGTTTCGAGTGAGTGTGTAGCCTCATCTGAATACAAGGAAAAATGTTTTCTGCCACAGAACATGAATCCAGGTATCCAAATCCCAAAAATAAGCCCTATGCTTCCATGTCGAATATTGCAATAACCTCTTTATCTCCGCCATCTGAAGAGCCCCTTCCCTCTTTCCCTCTTGATGAAAAGATTTTGACTATGCTATTTGCTTGTTCACAAATCTTCTGTTGCACTCTATTGCCTACAAGATTAATTTTAACTTTCTCAAGCTGTCACTCAAAGCTCATCACGATCTGGCACTTATTAGGAGCTCCATACTTACTTGCTTTGTTAAAGAAAGTATGTCACAAATTAGATTTGAAGGTGTTGAGACATAGGGGTAATTAAAAATATTTATATTCAACATGGTACCTCAAAGAGTTGTTCTTAGATTATTGGTGCTCAGAATATGTTTGATAAATAAATACATGGGCTGCATGGGGCGGCTCACTCCTGTAATCCCTGAACTTTGGGAGGTTGAGATGGGAGATCACTTGAGCCCAGGAGTTGGGGCCCAGCCTGGGCAACACAGCGAGACCTCATCTCTAAAAAAATCAAAAAATTAACCAGATGTAGTGGCATATGCCTGAAGTCCCAGCTACTTGAGAGGGTGAGGTGGGAGGACTGCCTGAGCCTGGAAGGTTGAGCTGCCTCAGAATAAGTCAACAAATGAACACATGAATGATCAAATGAATACGTGGAAGTCACTTTTACATGCTATATGATATCTAACATAGTACTTTATATATAGTAGGTTCTGAGTGAATATTTATTAAATAAATAAATAACTAAATGAATATGTGAAGTGAGATTAGCTTGAGCAGAAGGGCATCTGCATAAATCCTGCAGAAGCAGAAAATATTTTGAAATTAATGTGAAAAAAAATCTTATTCTTAATACACATCTCTCACAAAATTCCCTTTAAAAGACATTAATGATGTCAGCAAAGAGAAAATTGTCAGCAGAGGAAAGGTGCACCTGTGCTGAGCCCTGTACCAGAAACTCTGAGGACAAACCTGTAGACAGCTTGATTTCTGTTATACAGCAGATGGGACCATTTTAGAGGGCAATTCACGTGCCAAGTGATCCTCACATGTTTTTCCCATTTTTGCATGCTCATTGCTAGGTGGAAGTGCCCAAATCTCTATTTAGCTGATGGGAAACAGTCTCAGAGAGGAAAATGACTTCATCATGACACAGTTGACATATGATCAGGAAGGGCCTTGTTCAAAACCATGATGTTCCTTCACCCTCCATAAATATAGCTCTCCCTGTAATACAAAATATAGACTTGTAAAAAATATTAGAAATATGTAAAGGATCTGGACCATGTAAATAAATATTGCATACATGTCATACGGGGTTCTTTCTTTTCCCAATTTCAGACGAGATCGAGCATGTTTAGGGTGGTAAGGCCATGGGCCTAATTTCAAATTCTGTCAAACTTCTTGGTTGACAATGAGAAAACTTTGCCCTTTGTTTCTTGATATTGTGTCAATCTGCTTATCTGTGTGTCAGCTTGGACCACCCTTGAAAAAAGCTGAATTACCATCTGTTGTTTCATGAATGCTGTAGGGTCAGCATTTTGCCTTATCAGTGCATGAAGGCCAGTGAACAAAGGGTATCTGCAGGTAAAACTGAACTGACCTCAGGCTGAACTTGTCCATCTTTCAGCATTTTCCACCCTGATGCTGTTTCCAGGAAGGTCACGGAGTGAGAGGGGAGATGGCTATAGCTGCCAACCTCTCCTTAATGCGGTACAGTTGCAGACAGAGTCAGTCAGACATATTATCACAATTACAGAACTGACTTTGAGAAGGATTCATCCGTGACATAATACATTTCCTGAAAACTATATTGAGCTTGACTTCCTCCCTGCTTTAGTGATGCAGAGGGCACTGTAGGATCCCACTGTGGGCACAGAGTTTCAGCTTTAAGTATCAGTTCTCACGGTTGAGATCTTTACGTCCAGGTCTTTTGAGTTCCATACACGTGGATTCATGGGCAGTGCAAGGAGATTCACACCAAAGGCCTTGTTTGTTAGGCAGCAGGGGCTACTCTAAGAGATTTGAACAGGGATTTTGGATCAGGGTTTGGAAGAATGGATGAGATGGGTTTGGTAGAAAGAAATCACAGAATCAGCTATTGCCAAGGTTAATAGGTATGATCATCTGAAGGCAGCCAGCAATGAGCAGTACTTGCTGGTGGGGAGAGGTGAGCAGGGGCAACAGCTAATGCTTAATGTGTTTACTGAATATTTAATATGTACCAGGCACTGAGCAAAAGGATTTATATGCATGATCTTATTAGGAATTATTTTTTTTTGAGGCAGGGTCTTGCTCCATTTCCCAGACTGGAGTGCAGTGGTATGATGTTGACTCACTGTGATCTCAGCCTCCAAGCAGCTGGGCTACAGGTGTGCACCACCATGCCCAGGCCACCATATCTGGCTACTATGTGTGTGTGTGTGTGTGTGTGTGTGTGTATGTGTGTGCAAATATATATATATAAAATATACATATATTATATATATAATATATGTATGTATTATATATATAATATATGTATATATAATATATATGTATATATAATATATAATATATGTATATATAATATATAATATATGTATATATAATATATAATATATGTATATATAATATATAATATATATATATATAATATATAATATATGTATATATATAATATATGTATATATAATATATACATATATTTTATATATACATATATATATATATACATATATTATATATATATATATATATTTTTTTTTTCTTTTGGGTCAGAAGACAGGGTTTTGCCATGTTGCCCAGGCTGGTCTTGAACTCTTGAGCTCAAGCTCTCCTCCTCCCTTTACCTCCCAAACTGCCAGGATTACAGGCATGAGCCACTGAGCCCAGCCTAATAAGCATTTTAAAACCCGTGTGGAACAGGTACTATAAAAACCATTTTGCTAATAGGAAAAATCATGCATAGAGAGGCGATTAATTGTTTAGGGTGGCACAGTTACCAGGGACATAGTCAAGCCTTGAGCCGGAGCCTGCGTGACCCCTCCCGGGGCTTCATCTTTGCAGTGTACCTCCTCCTAGAGCTCAGCATGCCATGAGACTACCAGATGGAAGGCAGGACGGATGCAGAGTGCTGAAGAAGAAGGGGTTGCATGAGATTGGAGCACAAGCCTAGGAAGATCTGACTAGAACAAACACCCACATGAAGTTTATATCAAAGTCAGGTCATTTGGGAATGTCATAGAAGAGCTTGTTTGCAGCCACAGCATTTTCAGGACTTCTAGGTTGCAGACAGGCTTTTTAAAGGTAGAAGTCCACATCTGCCTTGTAGACTCAGGTCAGCATAATAGGGGTCATCTCTGATGCGTGCTGAGGAATTTGCAAAGGTCCTGGCAAGTTGGGGCTGGAAGTGAGACCTCTGTGATGATCTATTCCAATACCTTCTTGGTTTTTTGTGTTGGATAATTATTAACAGGATTGCTAATTACTGTCTAAAGAAGACACATTGCAAGTGCAATTATATGATGAACCTCCTCAGTGTGGCTTTTCTTGACAATACTATCCAAAGGCATCCCCTGCCTTCAAGCACTTCACCTCTCTGTCTCTAGACCCCATAGCACTCTCCTCCATCTGAAATTATTGTGTTTGTAGAATTACTTGTCTAGTTACTCACTTGCCAAGAAGAACACAAGCTCCATCAGAACAGGACTGTTTTGTTCTCTGCTAAGGGGCCCGTAAACAGCTCCTAGCTTCCAGGAGGCTCTCAATAAGTATCTGTTAAATGAATGTGCATTTTGGAGAAATTAAAAGTAGACTTTAATACATTAACTAATTATCCTGACAAACGTTAATAATTGCAGTATCAGAAAAAACAGGTTAGAGAAAATGTATGCATTTTTGTGTAATGCACAAAATGTCTGTCTATTACATATGATAACTTTGACATATAAGAACATTTCCTTAAGTATGAATAAAGTCCTATTGATTCTAAACTTTCATACATCATTCACAGGGAGCAATGTATGTCCTAGCTGGTCCTGTGTCAACACCATTACATCAGTGCCAGACAGTGTAGGAATAAACCCCGTGCAAAGCAGAAATAACCAGTGTGAGTGCATCAACTCCTACGATTCCAGAGCCCTCCTGGGTTCAGTATGTGTTTTTCCTCTAGGAAGGACAATTTAAAGGGGTGCTCTGAGGAGTGTTAAAACCACTTTAATCTGTAACTAATGAGGATACCCGTTGAGGGTTCAGGTAAACATGTAGGGGAAACACTGTGGGTTTATCTAACTCTTTCTTCCTTTTTATTCCATTCCCGGCCTGATCCTTCTCTCTCTTTTCTCTTTAAGACCTGACACTCTCCTTCTGTGTAAAGAGCCGCTCGAGGAGGTGTGTAAATGGACCCCTGCAGGAAGCTGCTCGGAGGCAGCTCTGGGCGTTGGAGAATGAGGACCAGGAGGTGCGCATGTTGTTTAAGGTGAGCGTGGGGAAACAGGTGAATGCTGAGCGCTGACTTGTGTCAGTCAGCTACAGGATCCCTAGCAGCTAAGACAGCATCTGGAGCAAAGTAGGCCCTCAGAGAAAACATCTAATAGGTAGGCTGAATGAATGAAAGATTGCATACACATTCTCTGCACAGGAGTGGAGAGGAATTTGCAGGAACTCTGAATGGGCAACTTGGAGTTGCTGAGTCAGAGAAAAGTTGTTTTCAAATCTTCTATTAGTTGTGTGATCTTTGACAAGTTACTTAATCTATATAGAATGGGAATTGTTAAAATACCTACCTCATTAAGTATGCTTCTTTTCTAATGCGGTAATTTTGAATTCTTTTTTATATGTGATACAATATACATAACATAAAATTTTCCATTTAAATAATTTTTAAGTGTACAATTGACTATGGCACTAAGTACATTCACAACCTATCCACCTCCAGAAATTTTTCATCATCCCAAATTGAAATTCCATATCTATTGAACAATGACTCCCCACTATCCCCATCTCTCACCTCCTGCTAACCACTAAGTATATATTTTTAAAGCACCAAGTTTGCCAATAAAAAAAAATACCTTATAAGTATTTGGATTAGAGAAGGAAAAAACAATAAAGTAAATAAACCAATTTCTCATCTTTCATAGTAGGTGGATAACACCTTCATTTGTTAAAACCAAGGAAGAAGGATATGATCAAATTATGTACAGTTTAGGACACACTATGTAGAAGAATGAAAGTCAGAAATGGAAAAAAGTTGTTTCAACTAGAGGTAGGGAAAGCATAATATTACTTTACATAATAAACTAATATGTTCCAGTTATTTTTTACAGTTTCCGCATGAATCTGGTACAAATCGAAGGAGAAAAGTGGTCTAAATGTCATGCAGCAAAAAAAGATAGTGTCTGGTTTTTCAGGGGGAAAAATGAGACTGTATCTGTAAAGAGCTTGGCATTATTTTTGGCAGCGATGTGTGTTCCATAAGTAGTAGCTACAGTTTTTTGAATTTTATTTTATTTTTAAAATACCTGGAATTCAGGAACTTGGAGATACTGGCTGCTGTTAGAACTGTAGTTTTCCTTTATTTTGAGTCTCATTTGGTATGGCGGGAGCAGGGTTGATTGAGAGAGCTGGTCTGCTGGCCTGAAGCTTGAGTCAGACAAACTTGTGGGCTGAAGTTGAGGCCTGAAGTCAGCTAGATCGGAAATCTAATCAAGGCTCCGCAACTTACTCCCTGAAGGTGATGTTGGACAATTTACTTAACCTCTCTGTGCCCTGTCCTCCTTGAATATACAACAGGGAGAATGACGTTGTTGATTAGATGCCATTGATTATAAAATGCACTGTTATTTTATGTCCCTCCAAGGAAGAAAACAAATGCTAACAATTAAGGTTGATGGCATACTTCCTAATCTTTTGGTTTAGAAGTGGTTAAATGTGAGAAAAGCACATTTTGGAATGGACTAAATCCTGTCATTGCATTCTCTTTGTAGGGCTTTTGTGGGAGTTAAATGACATATTGGTCATAAACCTCTAGGTGAAGTGCCAGCCACGTAGTAAATTCTCTGTAAGTCGATTTTTACCTACCACCCCTTCCCTGATTATGGGCTAAACATCCTCCAAGCATCTGGGGCCTCCTGGGGTCTGGTATGGCAGAAGGAACCCCAGAGTTCTGACTTTACTGAGCTGGGGCTTTTCTTCTGGATTCTTCCATCTTCTTCTTCCTCTAAGTTTCCCTCATGATAGGACTCCAGGAGTTGGTACTGATGACAGGACCTGGCCTGGTAGAGGGATGTTCTGAACATCACTAGTTATAGTCAACTCTGGAGGCTTGGACAAACAACAGAGATTTAAGGGAAACCTAAGCCTGGGCACTGATTCAGACCTGTTTTTTTTTTTTTTTTAGATATTAAAATAAAGACCCAAGAGACTTATAGGCCTCCTCTCACTCTCCTTGTGAGCATGTAAATTGGAATGCCTTCCTGGGGGACAGTTGGGTGATTGCATTTTATGATTAAAAATATGCATATCCTTGCATTTCCAATTGTACTTCTTAGAATTACTTGTGTTAAAACAATTAAGAATGTGCACAAAGATTTAGCTATAAAGATTTTGGCCACAGTACCATTTTGGATACTAAAAAATGTAAAACAGAAAGAGGGATCCAAGATGGCCAAATAGGAACAGCTCTGGAGTGCAGTTCCCAGCCAGAATGCAGAGGGTGAGTGATCACCGCATTTCCAAACGAGTTTTTACTGCCCCACAGACCAGGAGACTCCTGGGCGGAAAAGTGCCACAAGTCTCCAGCATGGCTGTTTCAGCTGGTGCAGCAGGTCACTGCACAAAAACCCACACATATCTGGATGGCTGTTTCAACCGGTGCCTGGAATGCCTGGGAGACAGAGTCACCCATTCAACTGAAAAAAAGGGAGCTGAAACAGGGAGCCAGGTGATCTGGCTCAGTAGGTCCCACCCCCACAAAGACCAGCAATCTGAAATTCTCTGGATTGAGAGTTTCACAGCAAGCACAGCTAGACCTGGGATGGTCCAGCTCTGTGGAGGTAAGGGTGTATGCCATTACTGAGGTAGTCCACTACTACCGAGGCAGTCCATCATTACTGAAGCAGTCCACAATTACCAAGGCAGTTTGCCATTACTGAGGCAATCCACCATTACCAAGGCAGTTTGCCATTATAGAGACGGTCTGTCATTACTAAGGCAGTCTGCCATTACAGAGGCAGTTCTAACTATACCCCTATAAACAAAACTGCAAGGAAGTTCCCATGGCAGCTGGGCAGAGCCCATGGCAGCTCAGCAATGCCTATGCTGGCAGACTGTGAGTAGGCTACCTCCTTACTGGGCAGGGCATCTCTGAAAAAAGGCAGCAGCATGTCAGGAACTTATAAATAAAGCCCCACCTTCCCGGGACAGAGCACCTGGGAAAAAATGATGGTTATGAGTTCCACTACAGCAGACTTAAATGTACTTGCCCAGAAGCTCTGAATGGAAGAATGGAGCTCACAGCTCAGCACTTGAGCTCCAATAAGGGACAGACTATCTCCTTAAGCAGCTCCCTGACCCCTGTATATCCAAAGAGACACCTCATAAATGGGAGCTCAGGCTGACATCTGGTGGGTATCCTTCTGGGACAAAGATAACAGAAGAAGAAACTGCAACCCTTACTGTTCTGCAGCCACCGCAGGTGATTCCCAGGCAAGCAAGGTCTGGAGTGGACCTCCAGCAGAGGGGTCTGACTCTTAGAAGGAAAACTAAAAAACAGAAGGAAATAACTTCATCATCAACAAAAAGGATGTCCACTCAGAGACCCCATCTGAAAGTCACCAATGACAAAGACCACAGATAGATAAATTCACAAAGATGGGAAGAAACCAGCACAAAACGGATGAAAACACCCAAAACCAGAACGCCTCTCCTCCTCCAAGGGATCACAACTCCTCACCAGCTAGGGATCAAAGATGGATGGAGAATGAGTCTGACGAATTGACAGAAACAGGCTTCAGAAAGTGGGTAGTTACAAACTTCTATGAGTTAAAAGAACATGTTCTAACCCAATGCAAAGAAACTTCTTACCTTGGAAAAAGGTTTGATGAAATGCTAATGGGAATAAACGGCTTAGAGAAGAATATGCAGGTATTGATTGACTTATGACCTATGCAACTTACAACCATTCAACTTTATGACCACAATCGCTAGCCATAACTGCTCCACGTCTGGCAGCGCAAACGTTGCCCAGCTGGGCATATGACAGTGCGGACCAGCTTCTGGCAGCACTACCATCTCCACGTGCACCATTTCCACTGTACATATAGCCTACTCAACTTACGACCAAATCGTGTTACGACCAGTCTGCCGGTCCCAATTGTGGTCGTAAGTCAAGCACTAGCTGTAAATGAATTGATGGAGCTGAAAAACACAACATGAGAAGTTTGCAAAGCTTACACAAGTCTCAATAGCCGAATCAACCAAGCAGAAGAAAGGATATCAGAGACTGAAGATCAACTCAATGAAATAAAAAGAGAAGGCAAGATTAGAGAAAAAAGAGTAAAAAGAAATGAAAAAATCTCCAAGAAATATGGGACTATGTGAAAAGACCTAATCTACATTTGATAGGTGTACCTGAATGTGATGGAGAGAATGAATTGAAGCTGGAAAACACTCTTCAGGATATTCTCCAGGAGAACTTCCCCAACGTAACAAGGCAGGCCAATATTCAAGTCTGGGAAATACAGAGACCATCACAAAGATATTCCTCAAGATGAGCAACCCCAAGGCACATAATCATCAGATTCACCAGGATTGAAATTAAGAAAAAAATGCTAAGGGCAGCTAGAGAGAAAGGTCGGGTTACCCACAAGGGGAAGCCCATCAGACTCACAGTGGATCTCTTGGCAGAAATCCTACAAGCCAGAAGAGAGTGGGGGCCAATATTCAACATCCTTAAAGAAAAGAACTGTCAACCTAGAATTGCATATCTAGCCAAACTAAGCTTCATAAGTGAAGGAGAAATAAAATCCTTTATGAACAAGCAATTTCTCAGAGATTTCATCATCACCAGGCCTGCCTTACAAGAGCTCCTGAAAGAAGCACTAAACATAGAAAGGAACAACCAGTACTAACCACTCCAAAAATGTACTAAATGGTAAAGAGCATCAAAACAATGAAGAAACTGTGTCAACTAATGGGCAAAACAACCAGCTAGCATCAAAATTCCAGGATCAAATTCACACATACCAATATTAACCTTAAATGCAAATGGGCTAAATTCCCCAATCAAAAGACACAGACTGGCAAATTGGATAACAAGTCAGAACCCATTGGTGTGCTGTATCCAGGAAACCCATCTCATGTGCAAGGATACACATAGGCTCAAAATAAGGGATGGAGGAAGATTTACTAAGCAAATGGAGAGAAAAAAAAATCAGGAGTTGCAATCCTAGTCTCTGATAAAATAGACTTTAAACCAACAAAGATCAAAAGAGACAAAGAAGGGCATTACATAATGGTAAAAGGATCAATGCAACAAGAAGAGCTAATGATCCTAAATATATACGCACTCAATACAGGAGCACCCAGTTACATAAAGCAAGTTCTTAACAACCTACAAAGAGACTTAGACTCCCACATAATAATAGTGGGAGACTTAACACTTCACTGTCAATATTTGACAGATCAATGAGACAGAAAATTAACAAGGTCAGATCTGGACCAAGCAAACCTAATAGACATCTACAGAACTCTCCACCCCAAATCCACAGAATATACATTCTTCTCAGCACCACATCACACCTACTCTAAAATTGACCACATAATTGGAAGTAAATCACTCCTCAGCAAATGCAAAAGAATGGAAATCATAACAAACAGTCTCTCAGACCACAGTACAATCAAATTAGAACTCAGGATTAAGAAACTAACTCAGAACTGCACAACTTCGTGGAAACTGAACAACTGGCTCTTGAATGTTGACTGGATAAACAATGAAATGAAGGCGGAAATAAAGATGTTCTTCAAAACCAACAAGAATGAAGACACAATGTACCAGAATCTCTGGGACACATTTAAAGCAGTGTCTAGAGGAAAATTTATAGCAATAAATGCCTACATAAGAAGGAAGGAAAGATCTAAAATTGACACCCTATCATCAAAATTGAAAGAGCTAGAGGAGCAAAATTAAAAAAACTCAAAAGCTAGCAGAAGACAAGAATAATTAAGATCAGAGGATAACTGAAGCAGACAGACACACAAAAAACCCTTCAAAAAATTAATGAATCCAGGAGCTGGTTTTTTGAAAAGATCAACAAAATAGACAGACTACTAGCCATATTAATAAAAGAGAGAAGAATCAAATAGATGCAGTAAAAAATGATAAAGGGGATATCACCACAGATTCCACAGAAATACAAAGCACCATCAGAGATTACTACAAACAACTCTATGCACATAAACCAGTAAACCTGGAGGAAATGGATAAATTCCTGGACACTTGCATCCTCCCAAGCCTAAACCAGGAAGAAGTCGAAACCCTGAATAGACCAATAACAAAGGCTGAAGTTGAGGTAGCAATTAATAGCTTACCAACCAAAAAAAGCCCAGGTCCAGATGAGTTCACAGCTGAATCTACCAGACACACAAAGAGGAGCTGGGACCACTCCTTCTGAAACTATTCCAAATAATCCAAAAAGAGGGAATCCTTCCCAAATCATTTTATGAGATCAACATCATCCTGATACCAAAACCCAGCAGAGACTCAACAAGAAAATAAAACTTCAGGCCAATATCCATGATGAACATAGATGCAAAAATCTTCAATAAAATACTGGCAAACCGATTGCAACAGTACATCAAAAAGCTTGTCCACCATGTTCAAGTAGGCTTCATCTCAGGGATGCAAGGCTGGTTCAACATAAGAAAGTCTTTACACGTAATTCACCACATAAACAGAACCAAAGACAAAAACCACATGATTATCTCAATAGATGCAGAGAAGGCCTTCAACAAAGTTCAACAGCCCTTTATGCTAAAAACTCTCAGTAAACTAGGTATTGACATATCTCAAAATAATAAAAGCTATTTACAGCAAACCCACAGCCAATATCATACAGAATGGGCAAAAACTGGAAGCATTCCCTTTGAAATCTGGCACTAGACAAGGATGCCCTCTCTCACTACTTCTATTCAATATAGTATTGGAAGTTCTAGCCAGAGCAATCAGGCAAGAAAAAGAAATAAAGAGTATTCAATTAGGAAAGGAGGAAGTCAAATGGTCTCTATTTACAGATGACATGATTGAATATTTAGAAGACCCTATTGTCTCAGCCCAAAATCTCCTAAAACTGAGAGACAACTTCAGCAAAGTCTCAGGATACAAAATCAATGTGCAGAAAATCGAAAGCATTCCTATACACCAATAACAGACTCAAAGAGAGCCAAATCAAGAACAAACTGCCATTCACAATTGCTACAAAGAGAATAAAATACCTAGGAATACAACTAACAAATGATGCAAAGGACCTCTTTGAGGAGAACTACAAACCACTGCTCAATGAAATGAGAGAGGACACAAACAGATGGAAAAACATTCCAATCAAGCATATTGATTCAGGAAGAATCAATATTGTGAAAATGGCCATACTGCCCAAAGTAATTTATAGATTCAATGCTATCCTCATCAAGGCACCTATGACCCTCTTCACAGAACTGGAAAAAGACACCTTAAACTTCATATGGAACCAAAAGAGAGCCTGCATAGCCAAGTCAATTCTAAGCAAAAAGAACAAAGCTGGAGGCATCATGCTACCTGATTTCAAACTATACTGCAAGGCTACAGTAATCAAAACAGCATAGTACTGGTACCAAAACAGAAATATAGACCAATGGAACAGAACAGAGGCCTCAGAGGCAATGCCACACATCTACAACCATCTGATCTTTGACAAACCTGACAAAAACAGGCAATGGGGAAAGGATTCCCTGTTTAATAAATGGTATTGGGAAAGCTGGCTTGCTATATGCAGAAAGCAGAAACTGGCCCTCTTCCTGACACCTTACACTATAACTCCAGATGGATTAAAGACTTAAACTAAGACCTGACACCACAAAAACCCTAGAAGTGAACCTAGGCAAAACCATTCATGACATAGGCATAGGCAAGCATTTCATGACTGAAACACCAAAAGCATTGGCACCAAAAGCCAAAATAGATAAATGAGCTCTAATTAAACTCCAGAGCTTCTGCACAACAAAAGAAACAATCATTAGAGTGAACCGGTAACCAACAGAATGGGAAAAAATTTTATAATCTACCCATCTGACAAAGGGCTAATGTCCAGAATCTACAAATAACTAAAACAGATTTACAAGAAAAAAACAAGAAACCCATTTAAAAGTGGGTGAAGGTTATGCAGATGCTTTTCAAAAGAAGTCATATATGAGGCCAACAAACATAAGAAAAAATGCTCATCATCACTGGTCATTAGAGAAATGCCAATCAAAACCACATTGAGATACCATCTCATGCCAGTTAGAAAAAAATCAGGAGACAACAGATACTGGAGAGAATGTGGAGAAATAGGAACACTTTTACACTGTTGGTGGGAGTATAAATTAGTTCAACCATTGTGGAAGACAGTATGGCGATTCCTCAAGGACCTAGAAATAGAAATTCCATTTGACCCAGCAATCCCATTACTGGGTATATATCCAAAGGATTATAAATCATTCTATTGTAAAGACACATGCACATGTATGTTTACGATAGGAAAGGCCTAGAACCAACCCAAATGCCCATCAGTGATAGACTGGACAAGGAAAATGAGGCATATATACACCATGAATCTGGAAACCATCATTCTCAGCAAACTGACACAAGAACAGAAAATCAAACTCCGCATGTTCTCACTCATAGGTGGATGTTGAACAATGGGAACACATAGACACTGGGAGGGGAGCATCACACACTGGGGTCTGTTGGTGGAGACTAGGGGAGGGACAGCATTGGGTAGGGAGTTGGGGAGGGATAACATGGGGAGAAATGCCAGATACAGGTGATAGGGATGGAGGCAGCAAACCACATTGCCATGTATGTACCTATTCAACAATCCTGCATATTCTTCACATGTACCCCAGAACCTAAAGTGCAATAAAATATATATATATATAAAATGTAAAACAATCCAAACATGAAACCATAGAGAAATATTTCTTTATGTTAATGCAACAATGCCATATGTAATCATTAAGAATGGTATAAACTACATGATGATATGAAAGATGCTTTGTGAAATATTGCTTAGCGGCAAAAGAAGATTGCAAAAATAATTTATTGAATGTGATTCTATGTATGTGACATACGGAAACTTGTGCAGGAAAAAAGATTCAACGTTATTACATGAAGGTGTTAACATTGATGATCTTTAGGAGTAGGGACTAGGGATGAATTTTATTTTTGCACATTTTGGTTTTTTGTTTTTCAACTTTATATTAATAAAACTCATCATTAGACATAGACTCACAATCAAATTTGCTTTTCAGGTGCCCTCTATGAATCATTGTCCTCTATCCTCCCACATATACTTTTTTTTTTTAACACAAAAAGTAGCATTCTCTGCACATAGTTATATTCCCAGGCTTCTTTTTGCTGCTGCTGGTGTATAGCAGGGTTATATCTGGAGCCTATATCAGTACACAATGAGCTTCTTTCTTCTTTTGTGTGATTGCATAATACAATATTTCACTTTGTGGATAAATTGTACTCCAGTTTAACCAACCTCTTTTAAATAAATATTTAAGTTGTTTCTATTTTTTTTTTGGTGATGCAAAAATCAATGCCATAATCAAGAAGTTTACACAGAATATTTGGCCTATGTATGAGCTTGCTAATGGGACACTTCCGTTATTCTAGGCTGACTCGTTTTCTTTACATAGGACCTCTCAGCAAGGTTGGTCAGCATCCAGTCTCAGAGGGCCCAGTTTCTCATCACCTTCAAAACAATGGAGGAAATCTGGAAGTTCTCCACCTACCTTAATTTAGGTATGATACAAAGCAAGCAGGTGGAGGATGACCTCCTCCACAGTTCAGCCAATTTGTAGGGCTTGGCATTAAGGTATTGGGCTGGCTTTGGTAATTAAGAAAAATAAAGCCTTAAAAGGGATGGTTAACTTTCGAAATATCACAGACTGCCTCAAGCTAAATCTAAAGCAAATATTAAGTAGTATTCTAAAATGCCATATAAAGAAGTGTGCTGTTTTGTATCCAGGGAGATCCTCTTTTTATTAGATAACTAATCAATTAGAAAACAGTTACTGGTCATCTACTAAGTTCAAAGTACTGAAATAGATGTGAAGCTTGTGCTAGTATGTGTGTGTTTTAAACCATAGGGAACTACAGTAATCTTGAGTAAGATCAAAGTAGCTGCTCAACATAGTAAATAGTAAAGTTCCAAATTTTTTATCACATGTATTGGAAAAGAGTTAAAGAAAGAAATAGAGGAATTATCTGCTTATAGCAGCCTCAAGCTGCAGGGTTTTCTAGAATGTAAACACGGATATTGGGATGCAGCATCAGTTCCATTGTGGTGGTAAATTCTTCACCTGCATTCTCCATGGAGAATAGCTCATAATGGGGAAGTTATGGTTGCAAAATGAAGCCAAACAAAGCAAGAGGCCACCTAATTTGATGTATGTTTTATATCTCCCAAAGGATGCTGGGCTCCATGCTGACATACACAGGGACAGATGTTGTGTAGGGGTGGAGGGTCAACATGACTCATGACTGGAAGGTATAACTTCTCCTCTATGGTCAGGAGATCTGCTCTCCACACTACACATTTCCTTCTGGACCATCAGGCATCGTCACTATTCAAACTGTGCTTCATGGACCGGAAGCATTGGCAGCACATAGGACCTGTTAAAAAAAGGAGAAGCTCAGCACTATCTCAGACCTTCACTAGGCATCTCTAGTTTAATAAAATCCCCAAGTGATTTGTGTGCACATTAAAGTTCAAAATCTGCACAGAGAAAAGGGATGGGATGTAATTATAGAAGATATATAAGGCCCAGATCAGCATCATGGACAGTCAGGGTGGAAACAGGCAGGCTCTTGCATCTTAGAAAAAAGAAGAAGCCTCAGGAGAATCAATAGGAGTAATTCATATTTATGGACATGTTTAAAATACTATGTATAATCATTAGAGTTTTACAATTTACATAGTTTTTAGTCTGCTTTTACCAGAGAGATCTTCTGGGCATTGGAGGTGGAGCAGGGTCAGAGCTTGTGGGTGGAAGCACATCCTGACTCCTAAAATTCACTGAGGGGGAACCATGTAGAAACTCCATAGCCATCGCATCATTCGGGGCACAGTAGTTTGAACTTCAGGTCAGGAGAACTTTAAGGAGGCACTAGGAACCCCCAAAGCCAACACTGTAAACTTGGAGAACTCCATGGATGTATTAGAAAAAGGCAGTTGGTTTCTGTCATCTCATTATGCATTTATGGAAACACACAATATGTAGAAATAATAAGTAACATTTAGAAATGACTTGTATTTCCCTACAGATGTTGAGAAGACGCAATTAATTCTAGAAAATGTCTAGCTTTTTCTCTTATGCTGTTTTAATTCCAGTTAAATGACAGGTTGGGGCTCATGGTCTGAGAATCAAACTCAGGAGGGAACTTTCTCACTCTCTTCTGTGCTCAGCTATGTCAGAAATCATTTTGTTCAGGAATCTTGTTGGCTTGACTTCTTAGGCTATGTATCCATGTGTCTGGAACATCTCCTCTTTGACCACAAGTACTGGCTCAACTGCATATTGGTGGAGGATACAGAGATCCAAGTGTCTGTAGATGATAAACACCTGGAAACAATATACCTGGGACTCCTCATACAGGAAGGTGAGTGCAGCATAGGGGTAGCGATGGGATCTTATGCCGATATTTGCTATGAGAGGCCCTGAAATAAGCAGGATACAAAGGGAGGGAAAAATCATTCGAACATGGCATATTCACAAATGAACGCACCTGTTATCATAGTACTTCGGACATTCCTCTCAGTTCAACACCGACATTACGTGAACAGCTGTGCTGGTCAGTCTCACTGACTGATGTTATAACTGCTTGGAGAGTTTTCCTAAGATACTCATGCCAGGGCTCCACTTAGGCCCATGAAATCTCCGAAGGTGAGGACCCAGGTATTGGCATATTTTGGAAAGTTTTCCACATAATTGTAATGTCTACCCCAAATTGAGAAACACTTTTCCAAACATGTGATATAATTTGATTGTAAAATAACGTTGGAAATGTTGCAAAATCTGAAGTTTTTCATGAAATTGAGGAAAGTGATATTGAGGAACCCTTTGGAGCACCTCCTGATCTGTTTATAGGTGAGTGTCCAATCAAGGTTACCATCCACCAATTAACAACTAATGAGGTGGATATGCCTGATGACATCACAGGCACATGGAAAGAGCCAGATTTGCATATGATCTTTTTGCAAAAAGGATTCTTCTTATGATTGCATTGCATGAAGGAAAGAATTTCATATCATGCTATTATGAAACTTACTGGAGTAATTATATTCACTCAACTAATTCTAATTAGTTTGGTTCTAATTTTAATCATAATGTTTCAATGCTAAATGAAATTCTATTAAATATTAATATATTTTTACAAGTTTTCATCTCTTTTTCAAGATAAAGTCCCAATTAAGTCTTTTTCTCATAGATAATTAGAAATATTGGTGTCTAATAATCTAAAATATTGGTGTTCCCTCTCAATGGCTTTTTTCTTCTTGGTGCCAGTTTTCCTGGGATCATAAGGCCTGTTTTAATGTCTCCTTGTGAAATGTCTACTTTACATCCAGGAAGAAAAGTGCTCCAGCTCTAGATAGAAATATTACTTTATGTGATAATCCCTTTTCACTCCCTGCTACTCCTTGGAAAGCCATTGCTTTTCTCATTATCCACAGGCCACTTCTTCTGTAGAGCCCTGCGCTCTGTGACTCCACCAGCCGAGAAGGAAGGGGAGTGGTTGACACTTTGCAAGAATGAGTTAATCTCAGTGAAGATGGCAGAAGCAGGGTCCGAGTGGGAAGGCGTGTCCTTGGTGACAGGTCAGCGGGGCCTGGTACTGGTGTCAGCCTTGGAGCCTCTGCCTCTCCCTTTCCACCAGTGAGTAGCCATCTGCTTCCTGGGAGCGAGTCCCAGAGCAGATTGAAGTCTGCACAGAACAGAGTAGGCATGCTTTCAGATATGGGTCCACAGGGTGGAGGAGAAAACAGACTATTGTGGCTCTTTATATTTCTGTCTTTTTCTTTTCTTTAACAATCAAGGTTTATACAATCTGATGACATTGGAGACAACTCTAAATTTTAGATGGGCATTGTATCTAGGAGCAAATATACCGCATGACCGCCAATGTAGGTTTCTCCATGTATGGACTGGGAACCATTTGTCTGGGCCTCCTCAGATTCTCTTGGGGTTGATTCTAGGAATCTGCATTTTAAATAAACTTCCCAGAAGATTTTTTTTCACACTAAAGTTTAAGAATTACTGCTGGAAGATATAATAAACTTAAATATACAGATTGACAATAAACATTAACCCAGGCCACGGACCTGTCTGTGGCTTTGGCAGAGATCTGACAAAATGCAAAGGGATTTTTTGTTAGTTATTTAACTGACAGCTACTTTCGAAGCCACAAAATATCCCAGGTCTGTTACCACCTCACCTCTTCACAGGTCCTGGTAGAAAGTAAGTTCTCAATAAATCTTTGCCATCATTTAAATAAGAGAAAAAACAATACTTACCATTTATCATCCTTGTTCTGATAGAGTGTTCTGTTCATTGTTGCAAGTTTTTGAAATCCATGTTCGCAAACCCCATGTTTTCATTGGCAGATGGTTCCTAAAGAATTATCCAGGAAGCTGCAGCCTTTCCAGGAACAGGGATTGGACAGGCTCCTATCAGATTGGTATGGCGGAGTCAAAAACATAGTATTGTTGGGGAGATAATGTTTTCCTGTCTCTCAATTTTATCTGCAGGTTTGGAGTCAGTTGATGTGAATTTCTGTCTCGTCTCTGCTAGGGACTGGATTTAGGGAAGTCAGTTTCTTTCTGTGCACGTGGTTTTCCCTGCCTGTGAAATGAGAGGTCTCAATCCAGGGGGCAGCTACAAATGCCTGCAGGTGTGGGCAGGACACACAGATGCTAGAGGGCCTGGATGGAAGGTGTTAGGGAATGGCAGGAACAATTAGGGATTTTAAGATACATGGGTGAAAAAAGAGCCTGGTGTGGGCCAAATGAAATGTTTTGTGAGCCAAATGTGGCCTGTGGGCTGCCTGTTTCAATCTCTGGTCAAAACATTTTCTAATTTCCCTTAGACTTTTATAAAATTAACTTTGAATTTAGGAAAAGTAGAAATGCCTGGCATATAAGGGTACTCAGTAAAAATTTGTTGAATAAATGAATTATACACACACACACACACACAATTTAAGTAATCTCTATATATGTGTATACACACATATCTGTAAGTACTGTATATACATATCTACTGGATAATTAAGTCTGATACTTTTTAGACATCTAAAATGTACCTTCCATTTATCTTCATTCTTAGAACTCCCCTTTACCCTCCTGCCACACACTCCTACAACAAAGCACAATTTTACAAGTGCTAAGCCCAAATAACACACACACAAAAGAAACAGAAGGATTATGGAACCCAGACACCAGATCTGATCAATTATCAATGATAAGATTTTTAGCTTCCTAAAACAGTATAGCCCTGTAGTTAGAATGCAAGGCTTTGAAGTCTGTTCTGGGTTCAAATTCTGGCTCCCCACCAGTGTGGTCTTGGCCAATTCACCTGTCCTGTGTTGCAACTTCCTCATTAGTAAAATGATACAATAAAACCAACTTTAATGTCGTTATGAGAACCAAACAAAATGACGTCCAGAAATCACTTCATTCAGTTTCTGGTACAATGTAGGCACTTAACACATGGTAGATCCCATCAACCCACAAAACAGTGGGAATTTCTGATCTTGAAGACACAATCTAGAAAATTGACTACAAATGTCAGAAAAAAATGGCAGTAGCTTTAGCAGAGAAGCTAAAGCAAATATTGAAACTGAGGCACATAAAAGCCATTATCTCCACCAGGCAGGATTAATAGAGAAGCTAACCAGCAGTTGGAAGACTTAAGCTCTAGACCCAGTTTTGCCCCACATAAGATCCTCAGACAAATCATGTACGCTCTCTCTCATGTACCCTCTCTCTCCCTCTGTAATCTGGGAAAAGGTGATTCTGATAGTTTCCCTGCCCTTTGAGGCTCTTGGGAAGACCTGAGAAAGTGATTGTACTTTGTAAACTGGACAGCAAAACATTCATTAAAATGTCATTGCTAGATCCTAGTCAGGCAATTTATCAGAGTGAGTAATTACCATACTCAGAAAGCGAGTCTTTAATTTTTTTTTTTTTTTTTTTTTTTTTGACTGAATTTTTTTTTTTTTTTTTTTTTTTTTTTTTTTTGAGACTGAATCTCGCTCTGTTGCCAGCCTGGAGTGCAGTGGTGCAATCTCTGCTCACTGCAACCTCCTCCTCCCTGGTTCCAGTGATTCTCTTGCCTCAGCCTCCCGAGTAGCTGGGTTATGCCCAGCTAATTTTTGTTGTATTTTTAGTAGAGATGGAGTTTCACCATGTTGGCCAGGATGGTTTCAATCTCCTGACCCCATGATCCACCAGCCTCGGCCTCCCAAAGTGCTGGGATTGCAGGGGTGAGCCACTGCGCCCAGCTGGGAGACTTGTAGATCCTTCTGGGTCATTAGCAAATTTCCATTCTGCCATTGGTAATGAGGCCAATGTTTACTGAGGGCTGACCAGGTACCAGGCATTGTGTACTGTATCTCTTTGATTCTTTTTAATACTTAAAAGCAGCAGGGATTCTTATTATCCCCATTTTACAGTTGGGGAGACTGAGGGTCATAGAGGCCAAAGGAGCTGGAAGGACATGGAGAGCTCCTCTGGTTTAATGGTTCTCGCACACCGGTCTGTGGATTTGTGCAAACCACGACAAAGCATTTATATGACAGTGGCAAAATTGGACAAACCAGGACAATACAGTTAGCCTTCCTGTTTCCCATAAGCTACATTTATTCATTTTTAAGACATGTCCAATATCTGAGAATATCTTATTTTTATGTTTGTTAAAACATCTTTTCTTTGGTGAAAGTGGATTGTAATTCTTTTAAAAATATGTTCTAGTTTGGCAAAATGAAAAGCCAACTGAGTCATTCCTGCCAATTTTTGGATGGGGAGGGTGGTGGAATGTTACTGGTCCTTGACATTCTAAAGTCTGGGAACCCCTCATTTTCTATTGCATTGGAAGGTGGTGGGAGGCTCAGCTGTTCACGCTTTCTGTAGCTGATCTGTGTGCTATTTTCCACAGGCAGAGGACGCTGTAAGGCCTTGAAGGATTATGAGCCAGAAGAAAAGGATGAGCTGAGTTTCTACCAGGGAGAAAGCATTGAGATCGTTGGCTTTGTCATACCTGGGCTTCAGTGGTTCATTGGAAAGTTGACGAGTTCAGGGCAAGTGGGCTTTGTCCCCACCAGAAACATAGATCCTGATTCTTATTCCCCAATGTGAGTATGGCAGTGAGCATGTCCTGGAGCTGGGCTGCCTTTCCCAGGGGTCCCTCCCCTCTTTAAGCAGATTTGCAGTTGAGCTTCAAGGGTTTCCTGGTAACATGGAGCCAGAAAAGCACATTCTGACACAAAGGTTGATATAGAAAGGAGAGAATGCATCAGTTCAGTTTATTTTAACAGGTGGTCACTGAGGACTTCCTCTGTGCAAGGAAAGAAGCAAAACTCCAAGACAAAGGATGTGCTGTTAGGCACTGAGGGTGCAGCTTTGGTACTTGGATTGGCAGCATGCTGATCCCACGTAGGGCTAGGAGGTAGGTCCCATGTAGGTCTTCACTCATTCAGCTTTCAAGCCGAATGCCAATGTGTGACGTCACCACTGGCTAGGAAGGCAGAGTGCTTCTCTTACTCTTTTTCTGCCTTGAATCCAGAAAGGCTGGTTGTGAGGAGCAGACTCATCTGCTTGGTCAATCAGGAGAAGGTGACTAGCCTGCTGCATCCACCCTGTCAAGGAAGGGCAGAGGTGTGGGGTACTGGCTCCTCTTTTTGGAGTGGGCTTCCTGCATGGGGATAGGAAATAGCAGAAAGCCTGGGTGCAGGAAGCAGATGGGGAAAGGGAGAGCTGGCTCCCCACACTGAGACAACACAGCTCCCCACACTGGGAAAATGTGGCCAAGAAATGTCTAAGGATCTGAACAGAGACTGAAATTCTTTCTCTTGTGGGAAATAGCCAATGAAGAGAGCAGACCAAGGAGCAGAAGCTCCCTGTAAGCCCTGTCCTTCATGGGGAGAGGAGACAGAAGACTGTTTTCCCTATGTGGAAATGTGGGAGTCCAAATAAGTATAAACAAGGAAGATCACTCACTGAGCTCCTGGAGAGGTATGGAGAATGATAAGGATTTGTAAGGAAGAAAAGGATATCAAGAGAACTTCATGAAGAAGGTGACACGAATTAAGCTTTGCACAATGTAAAATATTTCAACAGATATTGACGGGAAAAGAGGTCATAGGTAGCAGAGTGAGTCAATGCTTGAAGAATGACCCATGTAGTTGGGAGGGAAGTTGCCAGAAGGGCACTGGTGCAGCAAAGATGGGTCCCTGATATGGAAACCTGGGAATGCCTGTGTCAAGGCCCTGTCCCTTAACCTGGTAAAGAATAGGGAGCCAATGCATGTCTCTGAGCAAGCGTGACATATTATATGACTGGACCTTTTCTCTAGAAAGCGAAACCTGGCTTTGGGGAAGGCACGCACCATCAGGGGGAATCTGAAGACAGGAGACCAGGGTGGCACTTAGATAAGGGTGAGAATGGAGAGAAGAAGCCACTGCTGAGGACCAATGGACAGGAAGTCAAAGATTCCAGGAGCTTTACAAATACGGATACCTCTGTTCTGCCTCCAGAGGCAATCATGTAACTGGTTTGGGTTGGGGCTGGGCAATGGTATAGATAAAAGCTCCCCAGGTGTAGATGCTGGTCAGTCAAGGTGAGAGCATTACTCTGAACCACCCTTCATGTTACTGCAGGGAAAGTGAGGACCCCAGGGGTAAAGGGGCTGAACCCAAGGCCTTCCCTCTGGAACCTTAGAATCCTGACATCAAATCCAATGAGCTCTGGTTAACTGTCCTGGTGATTTTAAATCCTGACGTTAAATCCAATGCATCTGGTGAGAAGCTCCAGTGAAAGAGAGAAAGAATAAACAGAATGGAATACAGGGATGGGGGAAGAACCCTGGAGGATGCCTCCACTTACAGAGCAGGGGAAGTGAGAATGCAGAGAGGAGACAGAGGAGCCACAGAGGAAGAAACAAACTATGTGAGAGGCAGGGCTGACACCTGTGCTGTCCTCAGAGACGCACAGCAGGGCCAACTGAGGAAAGGCCTTTGGGACCAGCCATTGGGAGGTCATCCAGAGACACAGTAGCTGAATGGCTTACAGAGTTCCAGAGTCAGGCTGTCCAAAAGGCATTTGTGACTATGTGAGTGCAGCTTGTGCCTCCATTGGTCTATTAGCTCTGCGACTTTGGACGCATTCATCTATTTCTCCATGCCTCAGTTTTCTCATCTGTACAATGTGTAGAATGTTAGCACTTGCCTAGGATTGCCATGACTTTAAATGAGTTAATAATACACACAAAGCTGTTAGAATGGTGCCTGGCACAGTCTGTGTGTGTGTGTGTGTGTGTGTGTGTGTGTGATCCACAGGCACTAGCACTTATTGTTGTTGTTTGTGTTGTTGCCATTGTTGTGGGTGCTGATCTTGAGAGGCAGTTTTAATAGGATATTGGGGCAGGTGTCATTTTCATGACTTATATTTGGACTTCTGCGCCTCACACTAATTTACCTCAAATGACCAACTCAGCACAACTGAATTTATTCAGTCATCACATTTTCACTGGCTTAGTAGTAAGGGGTCCTCTCACACTGAAGAGCAGCATCCCCTGTGCTGTGTGAAGTTGCCTAAGACATTTTCCTGCGCCTGGTCAGCTGTGGGACCCAATGCACCAGTGATTGCACATTTGGTACAGAAGGGGAAAATGAACCAGAAAACAGGGAGGGATGCCACAAGGAGAGGAGAGGGACCTGCTCCTTGCATATCCCCCGAAGCACTCTCCAGATATCAGAGCTCCTTGAATCACAGCAATTGAGGGATGGGTTTTGAATTCGGAGGAATGACCCAGCTCCACACGAGGAGCAGCCCGGGAGTTGAAGTCTTGGCACTCTGCCTTTGGTCTGGCCACTGGGTGTCACTCTTCAGCTGGGTGTCAGAGTCTGAGAAGACGGACTCAGCCTTTGCTGAAGTCTCCATCTTCTCTGTGTAGCTTCTCTTTTTGTGCTTGTATATTACTCCCTAAAGTATACGTGTATATTTAAGTGCCTACATTGAAAAATAAGTAAATGGATAAATTAATGTACTCAAACCCAGGAAAAAGAACATAGGAAAAAAGCCAGTATTTTATAGTATTACAGTTAGAAAACATTCTTTTGTTACATCCCCTTTTTTATTCTTCATATTGCTTGTGTCTTTATGATTCAATTTATTATGGTATCTATTTTTGCAACTAATAATTTTTCCATTGGTCTCATAGCCATTTCTTTGCATGATGTGTCTACATGTAATATATTTTATAACATATTGATAGCAAGTTGTTCACTTCCTTCTTCATAGAGTATCTATTTTAGTAGCTATTTCAGTGAAGATCTGTGGGTTATAAATATTCTCAGTCCTGCGTCTTGGTCTGTCTTAAAGATATAATACTTAAAATATACTCTTGAATGATAATGTAGCTAGTTATAGCATAACATCTTCAAAGTTTGCAGGAAAAAATAACTCTTAATATAAAATTGCAAATCCATGTTGCCGGGGACTTGTCCATTTTGTTAGTCTTTTCAGAGAATCGATTTTTCTTCTGTTGAACATCTTTATTGATTTTTGTTTTTTAAATAATATTTCATTAATGACAGCATTTGCCTTATTTGCTTCTACTTTCTTTGTCTTTATTTCATTAATTTATGTTCTTATCTTTTATATTTAATTCTTTCATTCCATGAAGTTGAACAGTCAATAGTAATTGAACCAAGAATGGAGAAGTAGGAGAAGTAGACTACTTAAAAAGACCTGTAACCCCAATGAAATGGACATCATGTTAAAAATGATATTATTTTTATTTATTTTGCTCAGGACTTGGTGTGCCACTTCAATATGAAGACTCATGTCTTTCTTCAATTCTGGAAAATTCTCAGTCCTTCTTCCTTTGACTATTGCCTCTCTCTCATTCTTTTTATACTCTCTTCTGGAATTCCTGTTAGAGGTATGTTGGACTTATTCTATCCTCATTCTCGCTTAATCAGTTCTTTTATATTTTTTATCTTTTTGTCACAGCAGGCTACATTCAGATTGATTTTCTTAACATAATCTTCAGTTTCATCTCTGAATGCTTACCTCTGCTATGACTAAACTTGCTGTTTAATCCACCCATGTAGTTCTTCATTTCTGTGCCTTTATTTTCCATTTTCTAGGATTTGTATTTTGCTATTTTTCACATATAGCTGTTTCTTTTCACAGTGTTCAATCTTTTCATTGTAACTTCTATTTTTTCTTATTTCACCTTTTAAATTATTCTTTAGATTATTGTCATTTCTCATTTTTTGTAGTATATATATAGTTATTTATGCATCTGCTGGCTCTCTTTGTGAATAGTTCATTTTTTTGCATGGCTTGTATTTTTTGTTGCATGAACTAATTTTCAACCTTTTAAAAGTTGGGCTTTGTATCGATCCTGGACTGAAGAAAACCTCCTTGCTGACTAGATTTTGCATTTGCTTCTGGAACCTTAGGGAGTAAAGATCTAGGACTGTTTTTTTAAATCTTAATTCTTGGAACGTGGTACCAATACCAGGTAGTGTAAATTCAGATTCCACATGTCCTAATGGTATAAGCCTAGGTGTTTGATGTTTTCCAGGAACTCAAATAGATGAAAAGTGTGTTCTCGCAGGTAGGAAGAAATTTTCCAATCTGCTCTTTACAGCGGTTGAATCCTTTCAGACTCTAGGATTTATGTAGGGGGTTTAATTTGGTTCCCTGCTTCAGGCAAGTCTAAAATCACATCTTCTGTCCTTGGGGTGGGTATGAGAAGTTCAGTTCCAGTTCTGAGGGCCAAAGTCCCAGATGAAACCACCAGGGCTCTGGGCCATCTGCTCTCACCTGCCAATCTGGGTTTGCTTTTTGGTTTTGTTACTTGCTTCCAGTGATGTCCCTTTCTTTCTTTAAAGAAGGTACTAATATATTCATCTTTGTTACATTTTATCTGGATTTTTCTGTAAATATGGGGGAGAGTGGCCCTTTTGGAGTCCTTCAACCTGCCATATTGCCAGAAGCTTTGCCATGCTCTTCTAATCCAATTTTCATGTTTGGAAATTTCTAATGCAATTTGTCAAACTTCTTGGCCTTTCTCTAAATTCCAAGTTCTCTAAGTTTTCCCGGAACTCAGGACGTTAGTAGGTGCTGTGACGCAGTGCACACAGAGGTAGAAGACCTCAGTTTTAGTTTCAGCTTTACCACTTTCTAGCTGTGCAATTCTGAGTGTGTCATTGAATCTTTCTGAACCCCTTTGATAATATACAAACATAGATTAGAAATACCTGCATCGCAAAGTTGTCATAAACAGCAAATGAAATAGTACATTTAGGAACACATTATAAAATTTAAGAGATCTATAAAACGTGGGATCATATATTATATACGTATATTTTATCCCATCTGAATTTAGTCATAAATTTCAATTACATGCTGTTTTAAGATTAGAAGCTTCCGTGGTGCTGGAGGGAACCTGGAGATAAGCCCAGGGAGACGAGGGCCCAGTAAGTGTGGTGCTATGAGTACTTTTCTCATCACTGGCTTTCAAACTGCATTTACCTGAGTTATGAGGACGAATGATAATGGCTGATTACAGCACCCCATCCTGTCCCCTCCTGGAACACTGCTTTAACTACAGAAGTTCTTACGTCCTGTTCTACCAGTTCCTAACCACCAACTTCACTTTGCTGTGCCTTAGTTTATTCATCTGTAAAAAGGATAAGAGCAGTACCTGCCTCATATGGCAAATGTGTGGATTAAATAAAATAACAGTGTCTGGTTTGTCATACCACTTTCTACCAAAGTATTAGCTATTATTAACTCTTGGGCTTCCAAGTTAATTTTTTTTTAAAAACGATTCTGACATTAAGACATTCTCTATCGAGAACTAAAAGCGGCCTAAAAAATTGTTCGGATAGATACAATTCAGTAGCTTCTAAGGCACTTCTAGTTTTTATATTATTTAATTCTATGGCAAATCTCTAGTAAGAAAATTAGGCTTAACAATTAGCTTATACAACAGCATAAGTATCAAGATCTCTGTTGTTTATGATCATTTATTTCGGCTCCTCCGATCTTCCTTTTACCCACTTCTTTCCCTTAGCAATTCCAATCCTCTTCATGTTGCCTAAACTCTTGTTCTACGCCATGGAATCAGATCTTAACGGTGAAAGATTCCTCTGACTGTGGTCAGACTTTCTTCATTGTTCCTCTAGATTGTGTCTCTTGTCCTTCACTTTTTCTTGAAATACCCTAAAGACAAATAAACTCCTTTTACTGGTCCCTTTTCAACCCTTGCATTTAGGGCAATCCACTCCTCTTTCTTCCATTAAAAATGGGTACCATGTGGTCTCAAAGAATGAGTGGAGGTTGAGAGAAGGGCTTTGTTTTTCTTGGGAGATGGGGTTTTAAGAGGAGGGGTGTTTTCATCCCCACTTTGACCTACTGGACAACCACACCCCTCAGTTCTCCCAGCATGATGTGCTAATAGCTCTTCTTTCTTGGTGGTATATAGTATGCAATGGTGAGAGGAGGAATCCAATTTCATCTATGGGCAGAGGGGTTGATGGCTTTTCTGCATCCTCCACCACATCCTAGTGTGGAGAGAAGAGGAGATAGAGTCTGACGCCTTGCACTGATCTGTCTCTATGTCTTTTGCCCCAATGCAGGAGCAGGAACTCTGCCTTTCTCAGTGATGAGGAGAGATGCTCCCTGTTGGCCCTGGGAAGTGATAAGCAGGCTGAGTGTTCCAGCTTCCTCCACACTCTTGCTCACACTGACATCACATCTGTCTACCGGCTCAGTGAGTGTTGGTCCTCAGACCCCTTCAAAATCCTGGGGTCCTTAAGGATAAGACAGCGTCCCTAACCAGGAATGGAATACCCCTAAATTCTAATCCCATTCATAAATCTGCGTGGGCATGGCCACTATTCTGTTGATGACCCGAATCATATTTAATTAGTAGCATTTCACTTTAGATTTCAGGTAATTCTGGGGTTGCAGGGGAACTCTGAGACATGATGAAACCAATTCACCTGTACTATGGGTGGTTGGCTGTACTGGGCCCTCCCTCCTATCTTAGGGAAGGAGAACTTCCTGAGTCCTGGCTGAGGTACGTTCTAGGGCTGAAGTAGGCCCCCAATGACATGGGTGGGGCTGTAACTATTACAGCTGAAAAGGCCTTAAGAGATCATTCCTCATCTCACATTACAGACTGAGAAATGAGGCCCAAAGGAATTAGCTAGGATAAGAACTGCTAGCCAGAGCAATCCACTTTACCACACTGCTCCTGACACAAAATGATATTGAGTTGTTGAGTGTGTTAGTCTTGGGTGTCTCCTGTGTCGTGGAATCAGATCTCAACAGTTGTGAAAGATTCCTCTGACAAACTGACTAGTTTTCAGCAGTGTCTGAGGGACTGACTGACTGAATGAATCATTCTCACTTCCCTTATTCTGAGAAAGGCCCAGTGCTCTGTGTCAGGGTGTACATTTTCTCATTGATGGTGACGTGAGGAAGAATTTTTGTTTCTCCCATCTCTTTATTGATGGCGACGTGTCCGCTCCTGTGTAGCCAGATTAGATGATCCATATTTTATGGATACAGCCAGAGATTCTGCAGAAGGGGCCCTCTGGCCATCTCCTAGGAGCAGAGTCGGGAGTTGAGAGCTTTGTCTATGCATAAGGAGCATTTGTGAAAGCACCTGCCTCAGGCCTCGGCACCCTGCCCTGGCAGAGCTTTCTTGGCACAAGCCACAAGCAGATCACACTGCTTTATGAGGTTGAGCAGGAAGCTGGAGCAGTAGGCAGTGCCCAGGAGGTGGGAGCCTGATGTCTGAAAATTGAGGTGCACTAGCAGTGTTCCTTGAGGAGAAGGCCTGGGGACAGACTTGGATCACGATTTCCACCAGCTATTGATCCAGTGGTGGGGAGGACGCAAGAGGAGGCCCCAGACAGCACTTGCCTCTCACTCAAAAGATCAGCAGTGCATCTCTGTGGGGTGTAGTCTGTGCCTTATGGTTGCACAGGCTGCCCCAGCACCAAGGCAAGCAGCAGGGGGACAGCTTGTTGGTAAATTTTAGCGCTCCCAAGGCCTATACCCTAGAGAAGGATGCCCCTCTGTAATTCTCCCTCCCAGAAGGGATACCATTTTGTAACTTGTGTGCCATTTGTGCTCTCAGTGTCCTGGCTGGGAGAGGAGAGGTGGCCCAAGATGGGCACTGGCCCCTCCACATCAGAGAGGCCAGGGCATGTGAACAGCTGTCCTTAGCCAAGCTCTGTAGCTCTCCCATCTTTAGCTGCAGGGCTTTCTACCCTCTGGAGGTTGTAGATCTGGAGTATCTGCAATGAAAATCTCTGGAGAAGCCCTCCTTGGAGAACAGCAGGAAAAGGTTTGACTTGGCAAGGGGCTTGCTGGTCCTCAGAGTTCACTGGAGAACTCAGAGTGGTGGTACAGACAGTTGCTGCTTCTCTGCTAAGAAGAGGTAGAATCTTCCCTCGAGCAGCTGCCATCCTGTGGAATGTGAATCTGGCCTTCACATCTACAGTTCCTCTGTGGTTCCTTTAGCCAACAGCGGTCACTTTTTCACTGCCAAACCCCAGCTATCTACTTGGTTCTTACCTAGTCTGGTTGCACTTTGATGGGATTAGGTGGCTATGTTTTAAGTCACCTTGGCCTCTGTAACTCCGTTTTCTCTCTGACTGTGCCTTTTCAGTCTCCCTCAATGGCTACTGCTTGCCAGTGAGTTGCTCAGGCTTATTAACAAACTCTCCCCTCCCTTGCTCCCCTACTGTTTTTATTTTCCCCCTAATGCCTCACCTGCGTGATTACATTTAGTCCTGGGACTCTGGTCAGCAATTAGTGACCTGCTGTGGGTCACAAAACTGTGTTTGCAAAGCCTCAGTTTTTCTCCTGGGCTCCAGACCTACTTCATTCTCTGCCTAGAGCTCCTGCTGCTACCTCAAACCCCAAATGTCTAAAACTGTACTCTAGATTCTCCCATCCTCTGCTTCATTCTCGGACGCATCTTTGCTCCTTTTTATTCACCCTTTGCTTCTGGCCCCTTGTCCCTGCCACTTTTACAAACACAGTGTCCAGCCCAGTGGACACATGGAACCAATGTCTGCCGAGTGGATAAATGATGAATGAATGGAGGAGGGAAGAAGGAAGGATGTGATACATTTGGAAGTGGGAGGCAGCACTTCGTGCTCCCATGTGCCCTGTGCTGGGAGTTGTGTCCTGGCTCCCACTGAGAGATTTGGGAGCCACATCTCTCTGGTCTTCAGATTCTATCACAAGCCCCGCAGCTCCCCGCTGTTCTACCTGAAGTACCCACACCCCTTGGCACAGAGCCTATGTTTGCAGCTTTTCTTCTCTGACTCTGAGTTTCACATGTACCTCGGTTCCCAGCCGTAAAGTGTATGGATTAAACAAGGTGATTAGGCCCTTGCAGCTCTTAAGATGATGGTGAAAGGAGAATTCTGCCCTGTTCCTTAATGATGACTGATGGTCTTCAATGCCAAGTCTCCTAAGGGGCCATTGGTCTGGGGTACACCTGGAGGCATGGGCATGGTGGCCCATCCTGATCTAACACCAGGTTTGTTCTTCATCTCTACTTAGGTGGGTTTGAATCTATCCGGAATCCTCCAAATGATCTGAGTGGTGAGTAGCAATCATGCTGAACCTGACCTTCATCCTTGAGGACAGCACTCGTGTCCTCTTGCCAAGAGTGGGCACCTTAGGTTCAGGTGCCCAGGGTTGCTCAACTTTGCCTGTCTTTACAGCGTCCCAGCTCAAAGGCTTCAAGGAGGCCAGGCCTGGCAAAGCCTGGGAGGACCGTCAGGCCGTGGGTTTCCAACAGTCCAGCAGCTCTGAGGACTCCAGCCTGGAGGAGGAGCTCCTCTCGGCAGCCTCAGATAGCTATCAACTGCCAGAGCCTGATGACCTTGATGACCCGGAACTGCTCATGGACCTAAGCACTGGTCAGGAAGAGGAAGCTGAGAACTTCGCCCCCATATTGGCTTTTCTGGATCATGAAGGTTACGCTGACCACTTTAAGAGTCTCTATGACTTCTCCTTCTCTTTCCTCACTTCTTCCTTTTATAGCTTCTCTGAGGAGGATGAGTTTGTGGCCTACCTGGAGGCATCAAGAAAGTGGGCCAAAAAGAGCCACAGGACCTGGGCCCATGCCCGGCTCTGCTTCCTTCTGGGCCGGGTGAGCATCAGGAAGGTCAAACTCTCTCAGGCCAGGGTATACTTTGAAGAGGCTATCCACATTCTCAATGGGGCATTTGAGGACCTATCCTTGGTGGCCACTCTGTACATCAATTTGGCTGCCATCTACCTGAAGCAGAGGCTGAGACATAAAGGCTCCACCCTGTTGGAAAAGGCAGGTGCCCTGCTGGCCTGCCTGCCTGACCGTGAGTCTAGTGCCAAGAATGAACTTGACGTGGTGGCCTACGTGCTGCGCCAGGGGATTGTGGTGGGCAGTAGCCCGCTGGAGGCCAGGGCCTGCTTTCTGGCCATACGCTTGCTCCTGAGCCTAGGCCGGCATGAGGAAGTCCTGCCCTTTGCTGAGCGCCTGCAGCTCCTCTCTGGACACCCTCCTGCCTCTGAGGCTGTGACTAGTGTTTTGAGTTTTCTGTATGACAAGAAATATCTTCCACACCTTGTAGTGGCCTCTGTCCAGCAACATGGTATCCAGAGTGTCCAAGGGATGTCTCTTCCTATTTGGCAGGCCCACCTGGTCCTCCAGAACACAACCAAGCTCCTTGGCGTTCCCTCCCCAGGCTGGGGTGAAGTTTCCACCTTGGCCTGCCCCATGCTCAGACAGGCCCTGGCTGCCTGTGAGGAACTAGCAGACCGGAGCACCCAGAGGGCCCTGTGTCTCATCCTGTCAAAAGTGTACCTCCAGCACAGGTCTCCTGATGGTGCCATCCACTACCTGAGCCAGGCATTGGTGCTAGGGCAGCTGCTGGGTGAGCAGGAATCCTTTGAGTCTTCCCTCTGCCTGGCATGGGCCTATCTCTTAGCCAGCCAGGCCAAGAAGGCTTTGGACGTGCTTGAGCCACTGCTACACTCCCTGAAAGAGACAGAGAGTGCCACTCAAAAGGGAGTTGTCCATAACCTCCTGGGACTTGCACTCCAAGGTGAAGGCCGGGTGAACAGGGCAGCCAAGAGCTATCTTCGGGCCTTGAACAGAGCTCAGGAGGTGGGAGACGTGCGTAACCAGGCAGTGGCTATGGCCAATCTTGGCCACCTGAGCCTGAAGTGCTGGGCTCAGCATCCAGCCAGAAACTATCTCCTGCAGGCTGTACGACTCTATTGTGAACTCCAAGGCAGCAAGGAGACGGACATGGAATTAGTACAGGTGTTTCTCTGGTTGGCTGAAGTTCTGGTGTCTGGACGCCAGCTGATGCATGGCCTCCTTTGCTATGAAGTGGCATTGCTGTTTGGCTTAAGGCATCGACACCTAAAGAGTGAGTATGTCTTGTGCTGCTGGGAAGCTATAGAGAAAAGGGTTGGAGCACGTTTTGTCCATGTCCTGTCTCACGTCATCTCATTCATGCCCCTGCTTTGTGTTCAGGTCAGCTTCAGGTCACCAAGTCCCTCTGCCATTTCTACAGCTCCGTGTCCCCAAATCCTGAAGCATGCATCACCTACCATGAGCATTGGCTGGCCCTGGCTCAGCAACTCAGGGACCGGGAAATGGAAGGGAGGCTGCTGGAGTCTCTGGGGCAGCTCTATCGGAACCTAAACACTGCAAGGTGAGTCAGGCTCAGGAACTGTCTTAGAAGCAGCTTTCCTTCCTTAAGGAGAAACAGTGTTCTTTCCCACAGGAAGCCAAGTCCAAATGTACATGGTATAGGCGGGGCATTGTGCAAAAGAGCAAGGGCTCTGCAGCCACCACAGTGCATCCATCACTTACTAGTGGTGTGGCCTTGGGCAAACTATTTAATTTCTCCATGCCCCAGCTTCCTCCTCAGCCAAAGGAGGATAGTCATGGCATCTATCTTATAGTGTTATTGTGAGGAATAAATAAGTTAATGTTCATAAAACACTCAGAACTGTGCTTGATATGTAGATAAGGCTCAGTAATGTTAACTGTGTCGCTATTACTTGTGTGTTTCCATAACCACCTATCATGGGATCATGACTGAGGGTGCATAATTCAGAGAAGTGGCAATTATACCAAGGACAGAGGAGCCTGCAGGAGGTCTTCATTACCTGAGGGGAATGGGTTGTAAAGAAAGGACACTCCCCACTGAAAGCAGGGGTGTAAAATTTCATGGTTAAAAAAAAAGTTTGGTTGGGAACTTACCTTTAAAATGAAATTGTAGATTATGAAATAAAGTGTATTTTCACCTTTTAGTTAAGAATATTTACATTATAATTTCAACTATGCATTAAGTCTTAGAATAAACATGGGATAATAGGAGTATTGACTTTTCGGCTTAATTATGCTGACAAAATTATATCACAGAGCAATGGGGCATTCCTTTGTTTTGTGATTGACTTTTCAGCACTACCTTAAAAATCCTCATTTTTGTAAAAATAAATAAAAACTTAACCATTTAACCCAAATGCCTCCTTTAATGCTTTAGTATTCACATTATTATCGCTTGGAGATTTTGCCATCTTCTGTTGATTTTTTCTTTTTTGTTTCTTCACTGGTCTAATGCTGCTTCACCCTCATTTGCCACTAGGCAGACTGAAGTTCTGCTCTATAACAATTCTTAAATTGATTCCATTAAATCCTGCATGGGTTGCAAGATCTTCAGTTCACTTTGCAACAGATTTGCCTTGCAGTATTGCATTCATAATTATAAATGGCTTCTAAAATAGAGCATTCAGAATAGCTTCTAAAATTGCTACTGTTAAGCAGAGAGAGAGGTGGTTGAGGAGAGGCTAATTAAATGACTTTTTTTTTTTTTTTTTGGCTTTGCTAAGCAGCATGGTAACTGTGTGCACCTGGACAATCAGATAAGGAATAATCAGATAATGAATTCCACCCCGCCTTCTCTTTCTCCTCCAGTCTATCTCCCTCTCCCACTCCCTCATTCCTTCCCTCTCTTACAAGAATCAGGTATCCTTCAAACCTCCTGCTGTCTTTGCCTTCACTCCCGGGGAGGGAATTTTGGATCCACGCAGCAGGTAAGGAGTCAGGACGCCCCAGTTCCACCCTGCTTTCATTCTAGGACGCCCTAGGAGTCTGGATGCTTCTGGAGAAGATCCAGAAGGCAGGCTTGAATTAACTATTGAGATGACATAGTCATATGCTCATAGTGAAGTATCATAGGACTGGGCTCTGGAAAAGTTGGATTCTAGGGGACAGGAGCAAGAGTGCCAAATATGTGTCAGACTATTGGCAAGCTCAGTCTTAAATACTCCCAGATATCGCCTACCCCACTGCCATCCTTTACTCACCAGCTCCCCACTCCAGATGCCTAAACCCACTGAAATATTAAGGGGGAAGCCAGAGAGAAGGCCCTGGATGCTGTCAGCATGAACCATAGAGGCTTTAGTTAAGATGGGATGCATAATCACTGTCCTGATGTGATGGGGGGTGAACATACTACAAGGGGGTGATGGAGAGGAGGTCAGGGGTGGGTCTACAGAGGGCCCAAGGAGTTACCGGAGGGAGTCAGGAGCCACAGAGCTGGAAGAAGAGCAACCAAAACTGGATTAGGAGTCAGATAACTTGATCCTGCCCTGACCAAATAATGTGTCCTTAAATCAGTCACTTTTCCTCTTGGTCACCTTCTGTCTATAAAGATAAGTTGGATCAGGTACCTTCTAGCTGTAAAATGTTGAGTCTGGGACCCGCCAGCTATGCTACTCTGTCACTGGATATTCATACTAGAATTCTTGCTGCCTCCAAAGTGTATTGAATTTTTGGTGCAGATTCTTAAAGTTGTGGGCCTTCTAGGGTGCCTTTGAAATCAGAGATGTAAGCTTTTAGGGTTTAAAAGACTTTGTAGTATGTTCAGAAGGTCTTGTGGGCAGACATTGTGTCTAGCCCAGAGCTTGGCACAGAGGAGACATACAGTGCGTGTGTGCTTGGGGAAGCCAAGTCGTTAGTGAGTAACTTAGTCTACTGGTTCACAGCCCTTGGGCTGAAGCTGTATGCTGACGTGGCCACTGATGATGACAATGGAGAATGGAGGAGCTTTGTGTGGAGGACTCCATGGCTCCTTCGCTTATGGCTCAGGTAAGGAAAGGTGTTTGCAGCTTGGAGGCAGTCTCTTCAGTCTTTAGTGACAAGCACAATAGTCAGAGTGCCATGAGTTGAACCCCAGATGTCCACTCCAACAGTCTTTTGAGAATACCGGCTTACATAGTATTAGCCAGAGAACACAATGCCTCCTTTCTAAGGATTCTCCATTGATAAAAAACCAAATCTCATATGGTGAAGTAGAGTATCAGAGTTTAGCACCCAAATGAGGAACCTGTTTTTTCCTAAAATTATGGAGTTGCTTAAGTTTAAAGAGCGTTACACTTTTTAACTAGGCTGAGGCGGAGGAATCAGTTCAGGTGTTTACAACCAGCCTAGCCAACATGGTGAAACCCTGTCTCTACTAAAAAAAAACTAAAAAAAAAAAAAAAAACTAGCCAGGCATGGTGGTGGGTTTCTGTAATCCCAGCTACTTGGGAGGCTGAGGCAGGAGAATCACTTGAACCTGGGAGGTGGAGGTGGCAGCAAGCTGAGGTCGTGCCACTGCACTCCAGCCTGGGCGACAGAGCAAGACTCTGTCTTTAAAAAAAAAAAAAAAAAAAGAAAGAAAAGAAAAGAGAAGAAAAGAAACGGATTACACCAGTATTGAAGGTGATAGGGTGAAAAATAAAGGTCTCCTAACTTCCCTTCCCTTGATACTTTCCTGAAGTAACTGCTTAAGGATTTTTAAATATCTATCAAGGAATAGTTCATGCATATTAAAGATTATATATGATACATATTTTCTATCTTAAATATTAGGTATATTAAATATGATATACACATGTTTTAGTTACATAATCAAAATAAAATTTCTATTACATAATATACTGTTCTGTTACTTGCTTTTTTCCGTTAAAAATGTCACTGTGAAATGTCAATCCAACATTTTATCACACTATGGGAGCCCTTCCAATGTGTCAGGCATGGTGGAAGGTGTTGGGGAATTCAGTGGTTAGAAAAAACAATCCAAACAGCCACAAACAGAATAGTCCGCTCTATGTAAGAGTGAGCATGTTGCCTTTAGAAGTATTCAAACAGAGGCTGACTATTCAAACATTTTATTGAGAAGTTTCCTGAATTGAACTGGATCTGGAAGTACTTACTAACAGCTTTATTGAGGTATAATCACACACCATAAAATTCAGCCTTTGAAGTGTGCAATTTAGTTTTCATTATATTCATACAGTTGTGTAACCATCCCTACTATCTAATTTCAGAACATTTTCATGGCCCCTAAAAGAAAGCCTGCACCCATCAGCAGTCACTCCTCATTACCCAACCTCACTCCAACCCTGGAAACCACTAATCTGCTTTCTTTCTGTCTCTATGGATTTGCCTATTCTGGATATTTGATATAAATGGAATCATACAGTATTTATCCTTTTGTGTCTGGATTCTTTCACTTAGCATCATGTTTTCGAGGTTCATCCATGTTGTCATATGTATCAGCACTTCATTATTTTTTATGGCTGAATAATATTTTGTTGTACTGATATGTCACATTTGTTTATTCATTCATCGGTTGATGGACATTTCAATTGTTTCCACTTTATGGTTATTGTGAATAATGATGCTGTGAACATTCATGAACAAATTTTTATGTGAAGAAGTGTTTTCAGTTCTCTTGGGTAGCCCTAGGAGCAAAATTACAGTCATACCATAAATCTATGTTTAAACTTTTAGGGAACTGCTAGGCTGTTTTTCAAAGTTACTACACTATTTTTCATTCCCATTAGCAATGCATAAGGGTTCCAGTGTCTCCCATCTTCACCAGCACTGGTGTCTTTTTTAATTTCAGCCACCCTAGTGGGAGTGAAACTGTATCTCATTGTGGCTTTGATTTGCATTTTCCTAATGACTACAGATATTGAGCATCATTTCATGTGCTCTGGCCCTTTGGGTGTCTTTGGAGAAATATCTATTCACTTGTCCATTTTTTAATTTGGGTTGTCTGTCTTTTGAATTTTGAGGTGTAAAAATTATTTATATATTCTGGATACAAGTCTCTTATCAGATATACAATTTGCAAATATTTTCTCCCAGCCCATGGGTTGTCTTTTCATTTCTTGATCCCTCACAGGGTGAGTTGGGAATTATTTCTTCCTCTTCTATTTCTTGAAACAGTTTGTGAAGGATTAGTGTTAATTTTTCTTTAAGCATTTGATGAAATTCACTGGTGAAGACTTCTAAATCTAGACTTTCCTTTGTAAGGAGGGTTTTTTTTTTTAAATTCCTAATTCAATTATCGTTAGTTGTTATAGGTTTATTTAGATTTTTTATTTCTTCTTGGGCAGTTTTGGTAGTTTTTGTCTTTCTTGGAATTTGTCCATTTCATCTAAATTAACTAATTTGTTGTTATACAGTTGTTCATAGTATTCTTTTATAATCCTTTTTATAATTTCCATAAAGTTGGTAGTAGTGTCCACTTTAATTCCTGAGAATTTTTTTTTTATTATTGATCAGCCTAGTCAAAGATCTGTCATTAACAAAAAATTTTAAAAGAATTGACTTTTGGTTTTATTGATTTTTTTCTATTCTTTGTCATTTATT